GTTCATGTTGCTTAAACGTGCTGTCTATGTAGGCAGCCTTTGAGTATTCAAACACGGTCAGTATGCATCACTGAAGTACTTACTATATTCAGCTGTCTGACTCGCTCTTTGGACTAAAATTATCTTGTATTAAAAAGCCGAGTCGTGCCCTTAAATGGTGCCGAGGCGCTTTAGAGCAGCAGAGTGATTGCAGTCATCTGTGCAGGCATCGGAAGCAGCTTTATGATGGTTTATGGTTTCATGTGTTGATAGTTGCAGCTCCGCATGTCGCTTCCGGTCCGTTGTGTGTGACGTGTTTTCCTTAAAGGGCCAGTGTCATTAGAGTAAACAATCAATGCCTTATCCTATCTTTACAGAACAATCGGTAACAAAAACAACAACAATAATAATAATAATAATGCTAATAATAATAACAATAATAATACTACTAATAATAATAGTTATCAAAATAAAATTGTTGTTTATTTTCACTGATTTGAGAAGAATGCTTTAATATATATATATATAATGTTGGTTATTTAGGCGATAATTTGAGCTAATAAAACAATTAACACAAAAATTACCAATGTTACAATAAGCACATTAAATATCTTTTATCATGTGTAAATACTGTCGCAATTATTCATTATTTTTGAATTCACTGAGTTGAAGCAGTTCATCAAAATCTACAGATAAAACGAATGGGAAATAATGTAATAAATGTTGCAAATCACCTGTTTTTGTGCGTAATCCAATCGTAAATTATGAAATGTAGGCCTAGGATGACCTCTCAGATCAATATAAATTATTCTTTTCATACAATGTTTCAAACTGTTTTTTTATTACACTACCCACAGTCACCGGCAGAGGGCAATAACGCTCTTCTGTTTCAAACGCACGCATTTTCTTGTACAGTATGTGCTGAATCCTCTATGATTGGCTTTATCTCTTATATAAAACACATTTCTGTTCCACCAACGTGTCTATTGTTCGCCATGCATGACATACCATGCTCTTTCTGTCAAAGTCATGATAATTAAGGATGCATAATTATTCATGAGATTCATAAAACCATTGTTGATTCAATATACTGGGCCCTGCGGAGAAAGAAAAGGAGTTTCTTGTATTACAGTGTCAATATAAAAAAAGACTTTTTGTCGTTAGTATGTGTATCAAGTCTATAAGTGCATACATATTTTTTATTATTATTTATAATATATTGGATCATCACTTATTACGTTATTGCATTTTTTCCTGCCATTTATTCGTCATGCACTGGCTGCACTTACTGACTCACATCGGCAGATTTATAAAACTGCATTTAATTTACAAATTGTAAATTAAAAGCAAACATTGACAGCTCTATATCTATAATAATAATTAGCTTCCTCATTGTACAGAAATTAGTGACAAATTGAAAAACCTGCTCTTCCCAGGTTCGCTCGCTATAGGAAACGGAAAATACAATATTTTCCCAGCTGGCCCATGACTGGCCTACTGGAGCAGCTAGTATTTAGGCTCAGGGTTTATTTTATCGACGCTGCTGTGCACAGTCGCGTTTCCGTGTCTGTTTGTTTCAACCGGAGGTTTTTCGCGGTCCAGCACTCAGGCAAAGCCAGAGAATCAAACACCCCCTCAGAGACGCGCTTCTGGCTGAAAAGCAATGAGAAATACCTTCAAGGACAGCATAGTGGAAGGAAAGACGACTCGGAGGGGAAGGATTTATCATCAAACATGTTTCCAAACGAACCACTGTGAGCCAGGCAACTCAAACAGTGCGTCTGACTATAGGCCAGGCGTTGACATGATCGGCGGGAGCTGTAGTTTGTTTGTTTAGTAGGATTTCAAACTGACACGGCTCTTTCCACACTCTTAAGCATTCCTTTCTGTCAAAAACACATAAAAACAACCTAGCCTGTAAGCAGCCTTTAGGTCTGGTCGCACCAAGACGAATCTCCAGTGCCATAAACATATTTTAATTTTAGGGCCCTATTTTTATTTCTTTTTTTCTCCCAAATTCCGTCTTATTTTTCTTTTTCCAAATTCCGTTTTTTTTCTGTTTTAATTTTTCTGGATTCCGTTTTAATGTTATACTGTGTATTGTGTTGTGTTGTGCATTTACATTTTTTTTTTTCTGCAAAATTGTATTCTGGTAAATAATTTTCTGGTAAATATTCCTTTAAAATAATGTTATAATAATACTTTTATTAGTAGTAGTTCTATCATTACATTAAGTCATATATTTCTGTCACGGTTTCTTCAAGTTAAACTCAACTTTTATTTTGACGGGTTGTTGTGAAGACTTTTAAAGGGGTCATATGATGCTGCTAAAAATAACATTATTTT